CCTTTGGAACCGGGCCCCGAAACTGCATTGGCATGAGGTTTGGTCTCATGAACATGAAACTTGCTCTCGTCAAAATACTGCAGAACTTCTCCTTCCAACCTTGTAAAGAAACACAGGTCAGTAAACTTTCTGTATAAATAATATTTTATTGGGAATTTTGTTTATTGTGGAGTCTATATTTAAAAAAGAATATGCTTGTTCATCTTTTTAGTAATTTATTTTATGGCACAAATACTGTATTCGGAGCCATCAATGATCTTTAAGGGTACTTCAGTTCTGTAGTTCAAAACATGGCTTTATAATGACCAAACTATAAAGATCATCTGAAGTCAATGCAGATTAGCATGATATAAGTATGTCCAGTCTCTATAACATAGCCAGTTAGCAGTGGCAAGACAAATAAAATTTTAAAAAATAAAAAAATGAATGCTGTCTAGTCTCTTTGAACGTGAGCAAGAGTTCAATTCAGTTTCAAATCAATTGGAAAGATAAGGAGGTGTTTTGCACAATCACACAGTGCAGTGATTATCTCATCCTGACTTTCCAGGGTGTTTCCTCCACCCAAACTTACAGAAGCTCCCCATGACAAGGCTTCTTAACCACTGCCACCACACTGGAATCACCAGGGAGCTTTAAAAAATCAATCTACCTTGGGTCACCTTAGAAATTCTAAAATAATTGACCCAGAATGTGGCTTTAAAAGTTCCCCCATTGGTTCTCATTTGAAGCCAAGTTGGAAAATCACTGAGTTAAGGCACTTCTGCCAGATATGAAGGGTCCCACAGACTAGGGCCATCCTGAATGTTTGAATTCACCCTTTAGGTGCCCTGCTCCATACCAGGTTGGATCCTTTTCAACCAGTTAATAACTCCAGAAATATTCTTCCCACTCTCCTCCTCTTTCTATACTCATCTTTCAAATATTAGTGCAAACTCCAAGTCCCTCCAAAGAATCTTCCCTCCCTACTCCAGGGTCCACTCTCTGCTCTGTTTTTGGTTACTGCAGGATGTTATCACAACCTAATTTTATACCTTGTCATTAATCATCCAGTTTTCTTCTCCATATTTTCTCTGTATCTAAGAATACCTTTGCCACTCCCTTAACTATATCACCTCATTTTATTGCTTTATAAAATCAGAATGGTGTCTTGATGAAGATATCATCCATTGTGAATATTCAGTAAATGCTTAAGAAGTGATTTGCAGTTTATTTGGATCTTGTGCATACAAACTTTAAGCTTTTTACTTTTAAAATTTAACAAATGACATTTGTGTCTCTGTGTGTCCATCTGTCTTTCTGCAAGGAAAATATGTTTATTCCATTTGAAATTAAAAATGATAAGGTGTTGCAGTTGTAGAAATATTTGGATCTTTCATCTGAAGACCTTCAAGAACACTTGTCATTAATTCATATGAACCAAGGCACTATAAGTCTTATTTCTAGAATCATTCATTCTATATGCAACTCCTCCCATAATGTAGGCTTTTAGCATGGGAGAGGAGGAGGATGGAAATACTGCCATCTTATTTGTGGCTTTAGGGAAGCTGTGTAGCTGTCCAATAAGTGTGTACCGATAGGCGGCTCAGATCCGAGAGAAAGCTGGCTGCTGGCATGGCTGGGATGGGGAGGATACTCCCAGGCAAGCTCCCAGCCCTCTACAAGCTGGCATTTCTCCATCTCCATGACAATTTGTTTGCCCTGCAGTTAACTAAGATCAGAAGGTTACTCTGTTGGTCACCCCCTCATCCTGGAAGGAGTGACTCAGTGAGAATTGTACCCAAAGTATTAATCAAAATGCTGTAGAACATGAGAAGCTCCCCTTTTGAATTACATTTGAAAAAACTAGAGTAGATATTAGAAAACAAAAGCATAATACTTTCTAAAGGCAACTTCCCATCATTATACTGCATGGTTTCACTTGAGAGGGGTGACTGGATTGATTAGAATTCAAAGACTGCCCATGTGATTAAAGTGTGTAATACCTACTCAGGAGAACATTGAAAAATTCAACATACACAAAATGATCTTTATATGGCTGTTCAAAAATAGTTTGCTGTAATGCCTAAGAATTTGAAATAAATTTTTAAGCCCCATTCATTGTACATAAATTTTAATTTAAAAAACCTGAAGCCAACATGAGTTCATCTCAGACTTGGCACAAAAAAGGCACTCAATAAATATTGTATTAAATAATGGATGGAAAAATAAATAAATAAATAAATATGAAAAAAAAAATAATGGATGGAAGAATGCTCTCACTATCCAATCTTCACACAGCTTATAGAAT